CTCCCTTCTAGCCAGTCATGCATTCACCTTTTCAAACTCTCTCACTCTCTCTTATTTCCTACAGTATAAACTGACCAGTGATAGAAAACTGTAAAGGTGAGTGTATGTATTAATGTTTTCTCCCTCTGTATTTAAATGTACAGATTTCATTATCGGGCGTCTCACTGACCAGGCCCTTGTGCTGTTGACTTCAACAGCACCAGGAGGCAACAGCACACACCTGCAGACATCACATTATTAATTATACATGATCATAAACAGCATGTGTTTGTGTGTGTCTTAAGGTTTTTGCATTTATTCAAGTAAGTCAGTGCTTTCAGACCAAACACATTTCATGATACTACAGTACTACAACCACTACTGCTAATACTAGCAGAATCACTGCTGATACTACTAATGCTTTTTATGATAAAAATGTTTAAATGATAGACATTTACTTTTCATACTATGATTCCACAAAAATGGTCCCCAGTCAGCAAAAATTTGGCCATGCGATAAACTATCACTAACATAAGACTAAAGTCGTTATCTGGTTAACTTAGCTTAGCGGGTATAAGGCTCGTTAGGTTTCATTAGTGGAAATGCTGCATTCTTGTTTTTGAGTCTATATTGCCTAATCTGTTTATTTTTTTTTCACTTGATTCACATGTATCTTCTAAAATATAATTGTGCTGTTTTCTCTTCTACACTTTCGCACACACAAGCACTTAGCTTAGCACACACGCACACATGCATGTGTGCGCACACACAGTGGCAGCAGACATATCTATACTCATTTAACCAGACTGGCCCGGCTTGAGTTTCAGCCTTAATAGGATCAACTCATGTTGGCCAGTTAGATTTCAGAAGGGAGGGAGGACAATGACAGCCAGAGCTTTGTACCATACAGGAGAAGATACCACGGAACTACTCTCTATGCGTGACCTGTAACCTTCACTTGTAAAAACTGCAGTTTCAATTAACCACAGCTTTACTATGATGACAAGAAGGCAGCCATGACCTTTGACCTGCTCACTGCTGGTTGTGTCTGCTGATGTCAGCATCTGCAGTCTAACACCAACTTCGAACTGGGTCATTGCAGAAAGTCAAACTGGATTCACAGTCACAGCTACAGTGACCGATATATGTAAACCACTTGATTATGAAAACTTTGCCCTCACTCAGACACCCACTGGGTTGAAGAGGAAGACCGCTGAAGATCCCAGGACACATTATTTATTTTTTGTGATCATTTCATTTTTCCTTTTTGTGTCAAATACTGGGTAATTTTACTGCTTTAGGCCTCTAAAAATACTTAACACGTAAGAATCTGAGGAGCCACAAGTAAACAATACTTTATTGTAAGGGGCTGTGCAAAACAGTGACCTGCTGACTTCAAGTCAGGGAAGAAGTCTCCCCTGCTCGTCCCACCACAGTCATAAAAGAGACAGCTGCCAGCATTCAATCATGTCAAATAAGGATTTCTAAAAAGGGGCCACAAGGATTTCCACTACAAGGGTCACAACCCAAAAACATTAGCAACCACCAGGTTACACTACTGCTATAACTGTCAACACTGTTCTGGGGCACTGACTGGCTTGTGCCAGCTCCAGCAGTGCCGCGGATTCTCTGTGGGCATATAAATATGTACTTTAATTGAGGACAACTCAGATGGTCATTCAAATATAAAAGGGTTTTTTATCCTTTAGGGACCAGGAAATTGAACCAACTTTTTTATGCACTGCCGCTACTGAGGCAAAGAGGAAAAAAAAGATCATGATGCCACATGAAAAAAGACAAACACACATGCACACAGACAGAGGACTTGCATGTCAGAGCAAAGCAGACATCGTTACATCATCATAATGTCCTGCAATCAGATTAAAACCTGGCCTCCATAAGTCAGTGTGTCAGAATGTTTCTGTTTGCATGTGTGTGTGCACATATGTTTGTATCTATAAGCCAGCTATTGTTTGTACTCTGGAATCTGAGTGAGGGCCAAACTGACAATAAATTAACCAATCAGTCTGCGAGCTGAAACTGAGGACACAGGACTGATGTAAACCACAGTACCTTTATGTTCAGTGTGCATTTAACACTTAGATCTAAGTAAGTTCTGTTTTGATGCACATATACTCAGAGTGGTTTTAAAGTCTTTAGGAGCAAGTCCAAGTCAAGGCCTTAAGATATCTGCATGCTGACCGTAACACTGGCTTTTCAAACCTTTAAACCATGTTTTCTTTCAGAGCATGTTCTTGCAATGTACAGGCCTCATAATTAAATATTTATGTCAGTTTAAGTTGTTAGCGTTATGGAATTTTTCACATTAAAATTGAAGACTTTTATGTTTTTGCTTTCAAGTCTTAAGGCTCAAGTAACTCAAGCACAGAGGTCCAAGTCAAGTCTCAGCTCTCATCAATGGAAATCTCACTTCAAGTGCCAAGTCCCAAAGTGCAAATCCAAATAAAGTGTCGTCAATCAAAAAAGGTCCAAGTCAGATCTTAACAAGTAAGTCTAAAGTAAGGTTTAAAGTTCTTGAAGTCAAGTCCAACTCAAAGTCCAAGCTGAAGTTAAGTTTCAGGCCCTGCTAAGGTCAATCTGAAGCCAAGACTAACTTCAAGATAAATGTCAAGACAATTCTCAAGTCATGACAGCAAGCCTAAACTCAGGTCTCAAGACCTTGATGGCAAGTCCAGTCCAAGCCTCAAGTCAGCTGAGACAAGTCCAAGTCAAGTCTGAAGGTCAAGTCTGAAGCCAGTCAAGGCAAATCCACATTAAATGAGACACGTTCATGTCAAGTCTTCCGTCTTGTCAAAACCAGTCCTATGTCAAGACTCAAGTTCTTGAAGGCACGGCCATGTGTCAGTCAGGATAAGTCTAAAACAAGTCTTGTCAAAGCCAATCTAAAGGTAAGTCTCAAGCCATTTTATCACGTTTTTACATCTAGATTTAGTATAGTATTGGGGGAGGCGACAGTGGTGTGGTGGGTTGAGTAGTCTCCCAACGGGAAAGTTCGAATCACGGTGCCTCGATGGCTGCCTCGGTTCTGTACCAGAAACAAATTCCTTGTGTGTAACATACTTGCCCAATAAAGGTGATTATCCTTATCCTATATTTCAACACATCACAGGTCCTACAGCATCTCCAGTACATTCAGTATTTCTGGGCGAAAAGTGAAATTTCCTAAACACATTACAATACTATACATGTTTACAAGCAGGGGTTAAATTGGAAGCCCACTGGTGATATAGTAAGCTCAAACTTCCTGATATCAAAATGGTACCCTGCACAAGCTCAGCTCTGCCTCCTAAATAAAACATAAGAAAACAGTCTGTCTAACTGTATGAAAGCACAATGTATCATACACAGCCAGTAAGCTACTGTGCTAGGATGTACGTTTGTCTCAATGCAAAGATGTTTATTTTTATGCATGGGAGGGAATTTTAGTGTTTTGCGAACCATAAATTCAACACAGGCACACACACATAAATGTCTCCCACTGGCATAACATATATGCCATTAGGTCTCCTTATTAATTTCTTAATATATGCAGCTTATTTAAAATGTACGACAAGATATAAAATAGAAAATGTTTATAATTTTATCAATAAAAGCATCATTTGTGTCTGTGTGCATGTGCCTGTAGACTCACTTGGCCAGCTGCTTCTCGGCATCAGCGCAGAGCTCCAGCAGTCCCATGAGCACTGCTGACACATCCATATATGGCTCCCAGACGGTGAAGCCTCGACCAATCAGATCAATGGCAGTGCGGCGGATGGTGCTGTGAGGGGGCAGCTTGGGGCTGGGGGGTTGCAGCAGCAGGAAGGTCAGTGCCTTACCTGTAAACAGTAGAAAGTGTAACATCAGAATAGAGCCATGTAAGGTAGGGGTTTTATTATGTCATTAACTTGCATTGTTTGTGATTAAATCAGGTCCTGTTTTATAATTTTGTTGTGGGATGAATAAAATCAGAGCAAAAAGGGCATTAAGCTGTCATAAAGGCCTCAAACCTGGAATGTTCTTGTTATGAGGTGACAGTGCTAACCACTGTACTTCCATATGGCTTATATATTGGAATAAATTTACTATGACGTGTAATAAAATTTGGTTATTATGCCACCAGGTGGAACAGCAAAACTGACTACTCTCTTTGAATCTTAAGAATGTAATCATGTTTTTTACACTCAGTGAAGCCTTGCTAAAGAAGAAAAGATGTTACCGCGTAGAGGGCGACAGGCTCCGTCATTTTGGTCTGGAGGAGGTTGGACCCAGAAGTCAAATGTTGCGTAAGACCCAACAAGTGGATTCAATTTCTAAGCAGTTATTGACTTACATAGGGCCAGTGCACATCCTACATTTTGAAAGAACTAAGGTCAATGAGCTGGGGGCTAGCACAATGACTGATTTGCACCTGGAGTCCCAAAATGACTAAAAAGAAATAGACAAATTAAAAAAGGCAGATTTCTTCCACATTTTCATATTCTCTACACTCTGAGCAATTTAAATGATTTATGGTTTAACTATCATGACATATCAGCTCTATATGCCTTCGGTGTCATTGTAGGCAGTATAAGCTCCGTTTGCCATGGCAACATGGCTGCACCCTGGGAGTAATTTAAAACAAATGGATTTTCTATGAAGATGTCAAATCTGCTTATAAACCAAAAGAATAAATTCTAACGTTTACAATGTTTGGGTAAAAATAATTCACCTTTTGTGTGATATACACAAGCTGAGAGGATAAAGACAGTGAACGAAATAAAGGTCACTTCATAGCTGACCTGACATTTGAGCCAGTCTCTATGGAGATGGACTGACCATTAAGACTCCAGAAAATATCTGCCATCCCTGAATAACACCCCCTCGCTCAAACATAGAAACATACATGGAAACCCCTCCTGCCCCTAGGTATATGTCTGACTCTCTCCACCTGTCTCAGCCATAGTAGTCTGCATTTCAGAGCTTTTAGCAGATTCTTCACAATGTGCTACACAAAGAAGATAAAGTTAGAGGACTGTCAAGGCAAAGAATGGTAGATTAAATATCTGTTATCTGGCTTTTGTAAAACATTACAAATATTAACAAAAAACCCATATGCATCTCTCAGAAGGCTCTGTGGCTCTTTTAGTTATGTACTTTTAAATGTATTATAGTTATCAAACATTGCCAGGTCATTTATTTGTTTGTTTTTTCCCCAGGCGCACAGTATTCTGGACCATATCAGTTTTAAATCTGTCGACAGTCTTGAAAATACAGTAGCATCACAGACGCTCATCTGTCCACTCCGAGATCAATACACTTGATTATATTTTCAAATATATGAATGAAATGTAAATTCAAACAGTCATGATATGAAGAAACATAATATAATACAAATCATTTACTATGATTTGTATTTGGTCCTGTGGTGGCTCTAAGGTCCTCCAATCTCCAGACACCAGCTAATCTCATCATCGTGATCTTACAGCATTTCATCAATAGCCATTCTTAAATGGCAAACCCCCTTCTTTATTGGTTTGCATCTACACACAGCCTATGAAGGGGGCTGTGAAAAATACAGCTAGAGGCTAACTGTGTTAGCATCGCTATGTATCACTGTTACAAAATATACCAGCAGAGAGAGATAGAAGGCTAACTATGTTAGCATAGTTATGTTATGTCATAATGGGCAGCACAGACTAAGTGATGGACAGCAGTGCTAATGTTTTTAGCTGTTATGGCTGTTGGTAAAGAGACAGACTCAAGCATGCAGATGTTTTTTATTTAGTATGTTGTGACTGAATCAGTGAAAGGATCATGAACTTTGATCCTCAGCTGGTGAGCAACATGAGCTATGCAAACATCAATGAGACACAAAATCAATCATGTTTTTGTTACCTGCATCAATATACATACCAACAGTGAACTATAAATATCACCAGTGTTGTAGGGTTGACTGAAGTTTGACCTGTAGTTAGTGATTATTGCAGACCATCAATACCACATATCACATATATCTTACAATTTTCAATTATTTTAGTTTTGGCAGACTGACTCTCAGAAGTCAATTTTTAAAAAACAGTATTTTTCTTAAGTGTTTTCCTTTTACTGTAATGTGTCTAAATTCAGTGTCAACGGGGGGCATGTTTCACCACTAAACCGACCAGGGGATTGATTCTCAGTAACTGTAATTTTTGTCTTCTGGTATGAAATTAAAGTGATGTGATTACATAAACAGCAGTGTTTGAAGGACCGATCAAAGATGACAGTTTCTTATTTACATGCTTTTTTGGCAATGTTCACTGTTCAATCAGCTCTCATTTTTGTTTTTGTGTCAGTTTTAAAGTGCAGCTGCATATAGTGGTTTCAGAAAGTATTCAGAATTCAGATGCCTTTGCTTTTTGCACACTTTACTGGGTTGTGGATTTAATTTGAAATTGATAAACTGCAAATGGATAAATGGAAAATTGCAATTTTTGCCCATCAATCTACACTCCATAATCCATAATAACAAAGCAAAATCATAATCAGACATTAGACATTATTGCAAATGTATTAAAAACCTAAACAAAGTTTTCTAATTTACAAAACTATTCAGACCTTTAAGTTCAGCATAGGCAGAAGCCTCTTTGTTACAGTTTCAAGTCTTCTTGGGCAAGTTTCTACAAGTTGTGGACAGCTGGATTTGGGCAGTCTATCCCGTTCTTCCTGGCAGACCCTCTCAAACTCTGTCAGATTGAATGAGGAGTGTCTGAACTGCCATCTTCAGGTCTCTCCACAAACGTTTTATAGGGTTTTAAATATGGACTTTGGCTGGGCCAATCAAGGACGGTCATAGACTGGTCCTGAAACCACTCCAGCATTGTCTCGGCTATAGGCTTCAAGTCATTGTCATGCTGTCATCTCCCCAGTCTCGGGTCGTGTGCACTCTGGAGCAAGTTTCTGAAGGACCCTTCTGTATTTGACTGTATTCATCTTTTCTCAACTCTGAACATTTTTCCTGTCCCTGCTGCTAAAATGCACCCTCATGCTTCACTGTAGGGATGTTATTAGCCAGACATAGTGCTTGGAGATTGTGATTCTGTGTCTCATGAGACCACATAATCTTTTTCCTCATGCTCTCAGAGTCCTTTAGATGCAGTCTGACAAAGCCCAAGCAGGATAGCATATGTCTTTTTCTCCAAGTGTCTTCTGTCTAGCCACTCTACCATGAAGGTCTGATTGATAGAAAGCAGCTGAGATGGTCAATCCACCTGCAGGTTCTCCATCTCCGAAGCTCTGTTAGAGTGGCTGCTGGGTTCCTGGTCCTTCTTGACTCTTCTTGCCAGGTTACTAAGTTTAGTTGGACAGCTGACACTAGGGAGAATTCTGCTGGAGAATTCCAAACTTCTCCCATTTCACAGTTATTGAGGCCCCTGTGCTCCTGGGACCACTCAGAGCTTTATCCTGATCTATGACTTGCCACAGTTTTATCAGAGGTCTACAGAGAGTTCTTGGACTTCATAGTTTGTTTTTTGTTCTGACATGCAGCGTGAATTGTGGGACCTTGTATATGCAGGTGTGTATCTTTCTAAACTATGTTCAGTCAGTTTAGTTTGCCACAGGTGGACTCCATTCAAGTTCTAGACACATCTCAAATTTAAAGCAAACAGGATGAACCTGAACAGAGTTTGGAGAGAAATTCCATTTTTTTTATTTTTAACAAATATGCAAAAAGAGTGCAAAAAGTGAAGGGGTCTGAAAACTGTGAAACCATTGTCTAAGGTACTCGTTATGAATGGGGGACTTACAAAATAATAATAATAATAGTTTTCATTCATCTACATTGTCTAGGAACAAATATAGAAAAACAAAGATAAGCTCTAAATGAGTTTAAAATGTTGTCTGGTAATATTCTCGTAGTCTTGTGTTGAGCTGATTAAAAACTACTAATAAATAAAATGAATGGGTGGCTGTGTGGGACGATGGCCAGGGGTATGATTTGAGGTTCATGACACAAAAAGTCACCAATCACATTCAAACTCCTGCCAACAGCCACCCCAGCACAGCAAGGGCTTCAGGGGTTATAAGGTCAAAGTTCAATTTTGTGAGCACTGGCAGTGACTGTGGGTGGGCAGGTGTGTGTGTTTGTAACTAACCTGATGTAAACTTAATTGAACAACCACGTTTTCAGCCTCATCTGGACAATTAAAGATGGCTGTTAACAATAAGCGTTGGAATTAGTCGGATCAGGATTTAAATTTACAACCTCTAGCCTTTTAGTCACTGAGCAGGAAGTAAGAGACGTCCATACTCTGATCCATTTCTCATGGCAGACATCTTTGTTTAAAGGCAAGTCTGGGCCCATATTAAACAATGGCTATTGACAAAGCATCAGTCGGCCATAATTAGCCATTAGTTAGAGCAGTAAACGTGTTACATTAACACAAAGGGTGACTGAAGCAGGAGTACAATGGGGTAAGGAGGGAGGAAGGAAAAAAGGAGGAAGGAAAGAAGACAAGAGGGAAGTACAGAGTGTGAAACAGTGACAGATTGGTGATGTCTAAAGTTTACCAGGCCGAGTCGACCACTAACAGGCTTTCCACTTCTGTTCCCCCCCTCTGCTCTGCCCCCTCTTTCTCTCTATGTTTGAGCTTAAATGAGAGGTGAAGGTAAATCAATGTTGGGGACTTGGTTAGTGGATGAAAGCCGGATCAGACTGGATGTAGAGAGGCAGAGAGAGAAAGAAAGAAAAAGAAAAATGCAATACAAAATCAACTCTCATAAATGTTTAAACATGCCACCATTCAGACTGAACAGGCTTTAGAAGGTAGTTGAGGTATTTTGACATTTACTGTAAGTGCTATTGTTTAGATACTGAGGAGCTTATCTCTTTTATTCTGCCAAACCACATCCTCCTTTCCCTTGGCCATCAACTCTACTTCCTTGATTTCTTCCTTCCGTCCTTAGGCTTACTCTCTCCCTCTATCTGCCCTATATTTCCCCCTTTGCCATATGAAAACATCAATCTATACTTTGCTGTACAAACTACTGTACCCTCCCTTTCTCTGGGTGGACAGCTCTCATTCATCAAACACACTGCACTGTATGCCAACAACACCGATCCATTTTTCAGTTTCATAAGGGTGAGATGAGAGTGGCAAGATGGAGAATGGAAGGATGGAGAAAAACAGATTGAACGAGAGCAGGAAAAAGGATGAGAGACATGAAAACAACAACAGATAAGAAGGAAACAGCACAAGACATTAAAATGTCCTCTGCCACATACAGTATGTTTAGTCATCTGTAATTGTCTGAGCTTTTCATAAACCAATAACACATTTCAACAGGTACAGTCACTCCGTGATCTTGGTTAAAGGAACAGGTTGCTCTGTGGAGCCAGGGTGTTTTTTTTAATGGAGCAGAGTCCTGTCTTCAGGTACTAAAGTCTGTTCTCAGGAAAACCAACACCATCAGTCATTTGTCCAGAGCCTGAATATAGCCTATGTTTATATTTAAGTGACAAGGACCTCTAGTGGCTGTGTGAATTATGACCGTCATCAGTGTAGGCAGAAGTAGGATGACATTGTTTTAGCCTCAAAATCCTAGAAAGAAGTCAGGGAAGATAGATGGATCAACACAATGTATGTCTGGGATGCTGTCGTTCTTCCTGCAGACAGAACTCTGGAGAGCCCGTTTCTGCTGGGCAGCTCACTGTACTCGTCAGTGACGCTGTTCACCAGGAAGGGTTGGGAGGTATTTTAAGATGAAAATGGAGTCTGGACAGACCAGACGAACCAGAAACAAGGACATTATCATCACCTGAGCCACTTATTGCACACCCATAACCAATACTGAACTCACTTGATTAATTAGAGTGGTAACTTTAGCTATCCGCTTGTTAAGTGCAACATAACATTCCACTTGAGGCCAAACGTCCCCAGAGCCTGTCAGGGTGTAGACAATAACATACATTTTTAGATGCTTTATTTTTATTAATTTAAGAATACTGTGATTTATTTAATCAACTGTAGCCATTTCTCTTTCTTCTTCCCATTGCAAGGAAAGTGGTAAAATGACAGCTGACCGGTGATTTTTGATTTAGATTCTTTGGACCCGGAAACAGAATGTTACATCACCACTTAACAGGTGGATATCCTAATCCATCTCCCGTTTCAGTAGCTAACACTATCACACTAACTGAATTGCGTATCTGACTGGATTTCAGCTGTGGCACATGAAAGATAAATTGACTAGACATAAATGACATATATTAACGATATTAAACCTTACTCCACAACCAATGAGGATGTTAAAATGTCCATGTTATTCAAAGGAGGACCTGCTAGCATCTCTTAGTACATTTTTACAATGAATGGTCAAACAACCCTGCAGGATTGGCTATAGAAACAGAGATGTGATTGACTGACTCACATGGTTTTATGTTTATAAAACAAAGCAGTGTACATATGAGAATATATTGTTATGCATGTCAATGTTTCACTACTTTTCCAAGGAAGAATAGTGCAAATTATTAGGGCAGGTTATTGTTACAGATTTTTATGTCTTTAGATTTTAAACAGATGGCAGCTGATGATATGGGCTTGGGGTTTTCCTGGGGTTTCTCTGTATGTGTGTGCATGTGTCCACACAGGTGAGCTGACCACTGTGTCCAGCATCATGCTCCACAGCGTATCAGTGAGGGTACAGGCTCTGTTGCTGGGTGGATGCCCCCAGAGGCAGCCAATCAGAGCTCAGGAGCAGCAGGATGGAAGAGCAGTTCTGCTTAGTGCAGGTCTGGTGCCCACCAAGGTCTAATGCTGTAGGCACAGCATGGCACAGGTTGGGCTCAGTGAGTATGAGGATGTTGTGTGTGTGTGTGTGTGTGTGTGTGTGTGTGTGTGTGTGTGGAAGTCAGTGTCAAGCTCCTTAAGGTGTCAAGCTTGGTGGGTGAAAATCAATCCTATCTCTCACCTCAACTCTAATCCGACACCAGTTTCTACTTTGCCATTTATATAGTTCTGAGTTTGGTAAAACTATGACTCAGGACCAAAACATGAGTCATTATACATACTGTCTGCCTGAACAAGGCAGGCCACACATGTATGTACAGTAAATGTACTGTACAGGAGACCTAACTGTTCACAGAACCTGTCACAGAATAAGGTCCGACACTGATGGGTAGCTAAGGCTGAGCACTTAACACGTCAGACAGTTGATAAATATTTGTACAAATGACATACTGCCCCCACTTTGTTCTGAGCACTTTCCCACAAATACTGTATTTTGCTGTTATTTTGTTGACTTTGAAATGTTTGCCGTGTTTGTTGACAAGACTGTCACCAAGTTATCACGTTGGTCTTTTTGACTGTTGTGTCAGAGAGAGAGAGGTAAAAGAGATTAAACGGAAAACAAAACTGATAGATTCAATAAGGGATTTGCTATGCAGTGAAGATGAATGAGTGAACAAGATCTAAATGAAACTGGCTATCAGAGCCCACCCCTAAACACTTGTACCAAACTTCATGTCAAAATCATTAGAATTAAATTTATGGAATACCGTACCATGAATGGCATTCCCTCTAATAGCTGCCGATGCATTTCAGCTTGACCAGAGTGATAAATGGAACACATGGAAAACAGAACAATGGAGAATGCTTGTTGGACAAACCGAGATATCCAGAGCCTCATTACTGTTTGGGAAGAGATAACCATTCAAACAGAGCTGGATTCAGTGTAGAGAAACCAAAAAGTGGGCCAGAAATCGAGATTCAGCACATAGACAAAGAGTATAGGAAAAAAAAAAGGAAAAATGAAGATGAAACAAGATTATAGGAAAATGGATCACAAAAAATCAATATTACTGCCACTACTGTCATAGTTGTCTGTCCCACAGCCACTCATTTCACTCACCTTTGCAACAGCAGTGTTACCTTCTAATGACATATGGTATAGCTAAAAGGCAACAGTTTGTAAAATGCATTAGAAACATTAGATGAGGCTTGCACCAACGTACACTACAGTACACTGAATGAACAACAGCACTGTTACACTTTTTGTGGTTCAGTCAGTGTGTAGCGCGAATCCTGCCGATCGATTAAATAAAAAAAGCTTCAAAATATGACATCGTCATAGATTAATGGTACAAGACTGATCATATACTAAGTACTGACTGGTCAAACATTTGTGGACATCAAAAATATAAATGTAGTTGGTCATCATTTATATGCTGAACTAAGTGAATGTGTTGGAGTGTGTCCTCGTCCCATTCTTAACTGAATGTGTGTATGTACTTACAAGTGTGTCTGGCCAGCGAGTAGTTGGATGATGCTCCACTTGTCAGTCCGAAGCCCTCAGGCGCCTGACCACCAGCTCGAGCCCTTGCCAATCCCTTCGGTGGCTCAATCTCAGCGCCAAACTCGGCCCCAATGACCCCCAGCAGCACAATGGCAGTAGCCTGCTTACGGCGTTCTTCATAGGAATTTGAGATCTTCTTGGCGTTTGGAGGAAGGTTGGACAAACAGCCTGGTAGAGAGACAGAGAGAAATGATCACCAGGTTCTTATGTCAGTCCTTGCTGGTCTTAAGTACGGAAGTTCCATATTTGGTTAGTTATTTAATTTCCTGTTTCATTACAGCATCCATACTTAAGGCACATGTAGACAATTCCATAACCACCAAGGAAACGCCATTTACTGAGAAGACCTGGAAAAAAAAACTGTACAAATTACAGTATATAACATGGTTAACTGAGAGAAGGTTATGTATTTCAAGCTTCCCCAAACCCCCCCAAAACAACTAATTCAGGTATTTTGATGAAACAGCATGTCATAACACTCCCAAATGTGCTACCTGCAATTATCAAAGACCTCTGAAAAAAAAATCTGCCTGCTCCATCTAATGTCTTTCATGTGCTAAAGAAATGCAACTACAATACAAATCTGCAGGACTTAAAATGACACTGTAAACACTGCTTTCAGCAAACTATGTTGGTTTTACTGACGGCACTAAACTTGGATAAAGTGAAAACATCTCAGCTTATTTTGAAAGATCCCAAGATGCTGCATACCTATTTATTTCCTTCCTATAGTGTGGGGGTCCTCTTTTCATTCTTTCATTTCTTTCTCCTTCTTCCTTTTCATGCTGAATGGTGATTTATTAAAAAAAAAAAAAATCAGCAGGCCTGTGAGTCTCCAGTGAGCCGATAACAACCGAACAGGCACACTTCTATTGTCCTGGTATTAACCATTACTTACACACGCACGCCCACGCAGGCAGACGTCTTATTGTCCCTTTAGTCACAGTGCAAACACACACGGTTATGTTCATAGACCTTTGGAAGGATTTTAAACACATGCAACTGGAAGCCCTTGTGTGCATGTTTGTGTGTACGTGTGTGTATGTAGTGGGCGTCTCCTTCCATTGTATTCACCAAGAAGACCCCAAAATTACCTTTTTTTTGTGTGCGTGTGTAACAAGGCCTAAACGGTGGGGAACTGCTGCAGCTGTAAAAGGAATACAAGCGCTGTGACAGAAATGTGTGTGTGTGTGTGTGTGTGTGTGTCTGTATAAGTACCACAGTAGGAGATGAGAGCTCCTTACTCACCTTGGATCAAAGGCCCAATAAGGACTACATTAAAACCGTGTGTGTGTGTGTGTGTGTGTGTGTTCTCACACCCACACACACACACACACACACACACACACACACACATACCCTCCCATCACATCCTCCCTCTGATTTCTAATTTGTTACTCCTTTCTGTCTGGATGAGTATACATGATATTGTTAGTGGAGACCTCACCACCTCATCCGAGATACAGAACACCCCCTCTACCATCAGAAGAAATTAAATACTCTAAATTCAAAATTCACTTAAAATTCAAACTGTAATAAAAAAATATAACATTTTATTAATTAAGTTTTGTGTTTTCTGTCCGTCTCTCACTCACTCATTTGTTCTTTTCAAACCATCTAAAAATGAAGTGCAATCTTTGCACTTTTCCAAATATAAACTGGTGCAGAAGAATGTCTGTTACATCAGTTCTACTGAATATGTAGCTCTTTTTAAAGTGTGTGAAGTTTTTTTTGTTTGTTTGTATTTTTTTTCTGCATTTTACCATGGGTTGGATACAAAGTACATACACATACATGCACTTCAAGTCCCCTTAGTGTGTAGGATCCTCTGTGCCCTTCCAATGCGCGAGTGAACACACCTGGCACAAACACAAGTATGAACCTCACGAGATGCTGGACATGCTGTACTTTTGGTGCATCACGCCACCTGAACCATCAGGTGTGTACATTTGACCGGCACAGAATCAGATTTCTCAGACTAATCGTTTGGTCACCGATCATGGCTGATCAAGCTAAAAAAAAAAAAAAAAACTGGCCAATTCACATTTACAGCCAATCTATCGGTGCATGTTTAAACACAGCCATCTTAAAATGTTGCTCTCCTTTGGACATATTTTTTAATATAAATATGATATCATGAGAAGTGTATTTCTGTAATTAAGTCATTACATATGTACACAGTAATTAACATTTTATGATTCACTATATCTAAAGTTAAAGTTCCAGAAAATGGGTAACAATGAAGTCATTATTCTGCTGCCTGTTTTGCCATTTTAAATGTTTAATGTTTACAAGTCTACAGTGTTTTTATCTGGAGTTCTGTGCAGCACTTTACCGTGGGATTTGATTGTTTCACAAATGTGTTCCTATATGATCCTATGAAATAAACTTTCATCCATTTAAAAATGTTCTGCTAGAATTTTCAACAATCTAGGGTTGTATTTTCAGGATCTTCCTTGGTACTGCTAGTTATTGTGAGCAGTAAAAGAGAAAAGAGCGCCACAGTCATGCTCACTGTGTTTGATTGACAACAGCACAACAGAGTTGATTAAGTCAATTCTGTTCAAGTCAAGTGCAAGTTCAGTTTATTTGTACAGCACCAAATCGCAACAAAAAATTGTCTCGAGGCACTTTACATAGCAAGGTCTAGACCTCGCAGTAATATAGGGGAAAAACCCAACAAATCTGCCTTGAGCGAGAAGTTGGTGACAGTAGAGGATGAAACTCCCAGAACCAGGCTCTTGGAGGGCAGCTTTACTGCCTTGACTAGTAGTGTAAGTTTTATGGTGACATAAGAAGTTTAAGAACAAATAAAAAAAAAAATTGTTGAGATTCAGTTCTAAAATTTTGTCCTCTGTGTGCTTCTTCAGTCAATCTATCAGGCCTCAGGAGGCCCCTCCCCCCATATTTCCATACTATATCCTGGTGCTCTTTATAATGAGATTGCTAAAGGCCAGCTGTCATTTGGAAGAAGGCCCAGCAGCCAGCTCTGATAAATGGATTACAGATGGCATCCATCCCCCGGGCCGGACTGGGCAAGCAGATAACAAAATTAGAGATAGACTCCTAACCATAATCACTAAAAAGTTGAGATTTACAGAGAGAAAGAGAGAGTAAAAGTAAAGAGAGGGAGATACAGACAGATTCAGAGGGACAAACGAGTAATCTGTACTTTTTAGGACACAGGGTTCGGTAGGCCAAGTGAACCTAGGTAGTCCCAGAAAGGATGGTTGATGTTGATGTTCATTTCTTAGCCTACTTACAGCAGAGAGTGGAATTACTGGGCATTGAGAGTGGAATTACTGGGCAATGTGTGGTCTGAGGATAAACATTTGTTGGTGTGCTCACTACCCACAATCAATAACCAGTGTTGGTTCTGTTCTGTCATACTTCCTGACACCTGATTGGACAGACTCCTCCCGCTGTGCTGTCGTTGGTCTTTGCTTCTGATATTCAAACTGGCATAAACAAGGCTGCTGTTTTGGAAACTGTCAAAGTTCAGACTGTGTGTGATTTTGCATGATGAAGTGCTTATAAGGAACTGTTTGACAGAAACGATAGCAAAAAACAATTTACACTTGTTTGTGCTTGTAATAAACATAAAGATTCCAAGGTATTTACACTGAAAAGGCTGAGGCAAGCTCATATTCCCAATGCTATGCAAAATTCAGACTGTTGATCCAACAATGTCCAATAATAGTGCAAACTTAATAATACTGTAAGTCATTATGGGTATGGTCTCGGCTCGGTTGGAAGAGGCATGCTCCCTTCAATCAGATTCCTTAGTCAGTTTCCAGAGAAAACAGGATCAATTTTTGGAGAATTAACAGCCCTGAGAACACATTTATTTAATATTTTCATCTGAAAAAACACAGAAAAATTAACTGGACTAGGTTTTTAGGTCGAAGGCGTTTCACCTTCATTCAAGAGGCTTCATCAGTTCTGAATAATTAGTTAATATTTTCTTATCTCATTTTGATGATGAGCCTCTTTTAATCATTTTTATATTAGACTTTTCTTTCTGTGCTATTATGTCTGTGATCTTAAAGTGGATGGATCAGATAGAACAAAAAAAATCTGCACCAATTAGTATTCTGCAATACTTGATCTTTGGACAGTCTGAGGGTTGTTTGCTCATGATGCCAGGGAAAAGTCACTGTCAGTCAAATGTGATTGAACCACACTCAAATAGTCCTGATGGCATGAGAGATTAGTTACATATAAAAAAAATGCAACAGGAGTGGGATGAGGAGGAGTGAGCGGCTAGCAGTGCTGCTATGAGAAGCTGTGCCGATTTGTGGGTCTATCAGTGAGTGTCAGTATATAACCTTAGTTATGCTGTACTCTATATTGTGGTTAATGTTACTGTGTCAAGCCTAAAGAGCTTTTTAAATTCAAGACTATAACAGTTAATGGCAGACCCATGTGTTGTGTTTACTGTCACTGTAGAGGAGTAAGTCTTGTTCATGTGCAACTTCGTCTCTCCAGTGACAGATAATGCTGGAGCTACCAGCAGCTCTGAGAGGCACAAGCTGTGGCTGCACTTGGATTGGCAACTGACAATTACAGAACAGACCTCAGAGTCTCACCTTAGTTTCTACACACAATATGCATATTGTTGGAAAAATCATCTGTATTAACATCATATGAATACATGTTCATATGCGAGATCTGTGACGTTACGTGTCTAAAGACTCACTGATGAGCAATCATCATTTGTGAGATGTGGTGTTCCGCAGACAGCCGGCAGGTAGCATCACTTCCTGTCTGTGTGTACCTGCTGCCTCTCAGGCCGTGTGGATGAACTGATTGATTTTTGAAGCCTATTGATCTGCTTCCTTCACAACCGGCAGATCTATTATAATGACATTGTATCTAAATCCTATTTGCTGGCCAACCTCCTCCCTAACATAACTCAATAAGCCAAGATGGGGGCGGACGAGCTCCCCACTCTGTTCGCCTCTGCTAGGCTAAATCTTCATAAAAAACAGAAATGGATAAGGATAAAAAGGCTTTCTGACTGAAATGACATTATCTATAAAGGAAGGAATCTATTAAAAGGGAAGGATGGTGTAATGCAACAACCTGTGGAGTCCATGCAATTACTGTAAAATTATGGAAATGTCATAAAAAAGGGGAAAGAACTGAAATATTGCTGAGCGAACAAA